GTATTTCCAGTTTTTAGATGCGGTGCATAGATTATTGAACATCTTCCTCAATGGATAGTGAAATGATCAGCTGACTCATGAATCCTCCCAAATCTTAAAGAGTTAGCATTCTTACTGGAGTTCGAACCCACGCAAATGGTCATGTAAGCCAGCTGTGTAATAAACCCACACCAGCAGCCTTGATCTTTGCCCACTTGATTACCCATTCCAATTGCACAGGCATACAGATATACCAACTAGTCTGAAAGCTGAATACTACTCTTCTTTATCTAGTGCTAAGTGAAATACAACAGATAATCACCTTGGTATAGTGCAGTGCTCACCAAGAAGTATAGGGAATACAATGTTTGCAGACAAAGCTTATCCGATATATGTGCAATATGGAGATGGAGAGCGCTTCGTCTTCATTAAAAATCTTAGTGCGCTGCAGAACTGAAGAGATAAATCCCACAGTCATACGAACCCTTTTATTCGGTTACGGAAAGTGGTTACCCAATCTCGAACTAGAACAATATATATGGTTACAACGGGATGGGGCGGTACTGAGTCGGGCGCGACACAACTTTCTGCCATCATCCTTTGTGTGGGGATGACTGGATTTGATTCTCGGATCTTAGAGTGCAAAGTACACCACTGACAGCGATATAAAACACCTAACCACTGACACCCGAAAGCAGGAAATCACCCATGAACTCCACATGCGCTAAAAAGGATTGAACAGTCTAACTTGAATTACGAGCCGCATTTAATACTTTCAAAGCAAAATTATGGGCAGTTGAGTCAACGAACACCGGATACCCCAAGTGAAGGCTGACAAATTACCACAAAAAGTTTACACAGATATTTAAGCTTTAGAAATATGCCCAATTGTATATCATAAGTACTATTATTAGGGTTGGAATCGATTCAACACCACGCTTACCCTATCGGGACCTTATGTGGTTAGCCACTCCAAGTCCCGGGGCTTAGGTTACCGGTTTACGTCAACAGGTTCTCATGACTATGGGGTTCAACCCGTCTGCTGTTCATCACACTGGTGTGTAATAAAAAACTAGTTTCCCTCAGTACAATCTAATGACATGAACAAGTTTCGCCGAAACCAACCACTTTTTCCCCTCACCCAAGTGAACTCTGATCTTCAGGTTCAACATAGTTTGCTCGGAATAAAATATAACCAAACATTTTTATAGTTTTGTATGATAAAATGGCCCATTGCTTTACTGGGAACCATGAGACATGATATAAACCGCAAGTTTGTAGCCCATGTGTTTACCTCTCTCCTTTTGAGCTCACATGATGCTCACAGAATTCAAGGTTGTCAGAAATGCGCAACAGAATTTAGGAATCATCCGAGGAAAATCAAGTCAAAAGAGAACAGCTATCCGGGTCTTTTGAAACTAGTGTGAACAAATGAAACGATCATTAAAAAACAGGTGATCAGGAACGATGTCGATGGAACGCAAGATCACCAGAAGTTGATGCTAACGCCCTCAGACTCTTGTTTAAAAGTCTTTATTTAAGTTGATTGTTTTCGGCAACCCGTATCACTATTTCGTTCAAAATGGCATTTTTCCGAGGAGATGCATTCCCGCTATTTTATTCCCGGAACGGCACTTGGAACGTTCGTGTACGTTGGGTCGGACGAAGATTATCGGTTATTTGAATCGCGGAACCAGTGATATTTTTTACTGCAGCGTGATCCCGAAAGGTGTATTTTGAATTCAAACAGTGTAGCCAATTGAAAACGATATGGTCACCGTTAAACTGCATCAAAATGGAGGTTCAATACACCCCTGGGGATTTATCTGGTGGGAAAGTCGGACAAAGTTAGTTTTTCTGTCCAGCACTTCAATGACCGAATGGGATTGAATGTCTTCTTTCGACCCAACTTACCACCGTTGAGCATAACTACTAAGGTGAGTTTCCTTTGTCATATGCCAACTTCATGCGTATCACGGTACAACGATGCGACCATGGAGAGAGCATTCATAGCGATTTGTTATACTTGAACATTTATATAATGACGAGACTGTTTTTTCTTTGTTGTGCTCCCCAAGCGGAACATTGTGCCCGCTGTTTGTAGTTCTAATTATCAAGTAACCAGAACTTGGGTACCGAAACGCTTTTGAGAAGAGATCGTGTTTTGACCCATAACATGAGGCTTCTATGGACACGTAACACAATAGAGCCAACTTTGGATGACTGAACAGAAGCAACCCGACAGTAGAATATTAGCAATATTCAATGAAACATTGTACCACTTGCTTTCTGGTCTTGCTTGCTTATATCATTGCCATATGAGCGTTATTCAGACTATCAAATGTTTGCACCGTATACTTATGGGGTTTTTCAAGAGTTAGACAACGCCCTGCGAAGTAAAGGTTATTCAGCGATGAACCATTTACACTTTGACTCGGCGAAACTGGATCAAATAGCCTTGTCAAGATCACCGCTCACAACTCTATTAAAAACCCGAGTGGTCTGTGCAACTGTGGAGGAGTCAGCTGAGTTGATTTGACCTTTGCTGATGTAGTAAAGGGCATTCGGTCTGGACGAGGGCTTCAGGTCTGAGATTTTCGAAGAATAGGTTGAATCCTAAAGTCTCAGCACTCTAAAGCGAAAGTCGTCCACTTCAACGTCCATCAGGGTCCGAAGTAGTTTAGAAAAGAATAAACTGGTTCATGAAGAAATGCCTATTCAGATCGTAAGGCATGATCCGGTTTCATTGAAACAAAGCACAAACAAATCACATTTGAATTAGTTTCACTCCACAGTCTGTTGTTAAACTTAAAGCACCAACCGAAGCGATATTTTGGGTAGGAGCATATTAAAAAATGTGGTGTTCGCAAATATCGAACTTGTACTAAACTCAACCATTATCGATTGTATTGGCTTGGTGTACAACTGCTATCTTTTTCATTGGATGCTGATTCAGCTGTTTCTGAATGTTCGCTTTCTAAACATCTGTCAATTCCATTGGTCTGGGCTGATCTGGAGGAGTCCTTTTTGAAGTTATACGAAACCATCAGGTCACATAGTGGATGGACGCATATTCTGAAATCATAATATTAACAATGAAAGCTTCGGCTAACAAACAAAAATGATGCTTTGAACAAATTCTTTTTCTATCCTAATCTCTCCCTTGTCCGGTCATTTTGCTTTTCATTGTTCAGACGGCGCTGCGTGGGATGTGTCGTTCTGTGAACCTTGAGGTCAGTCGTGCCGGATGATGTCAATGAGCACTAATACATTGTGACAGATGTACAAACGCGAACCCACAACGCGCACCGATTGTGGCCAAACCAAGCGAATTCTTCGTTCCTTATTTTTGCAAATGATCAAACGAGTGGGTAGGTTCATAACGGAATTTCTTCCGCTAATGATAAAATAAGCATGTTTGTGTGTGTAAGTGTGAACAAAACGTTTCTTCATAAACAACTTTGATTTGTTTATTCTCAACGATGCTTTCACATTTATCTTCCATGATCGGACTTTTCTAATCAGACGCACTGCTTGCCGAGTTTCCTGGTTCCCGGGTTTTTAGAAACGGCCTGAACCCGACAGACTGCGACTCAGAGTCATCCTTGCACAATTCAGTAATCGGAAAGCGCCAGGACTCCTTTGCTCCGATGAGCCTTATCCACCGGCCGGTTGGTTATGTTACTCGTGAAAAATACACCTTATCATTTCTTGATATCTTCCAATGGAAATTTCACCGTCAACGGAAGGCAAATTTAGCATGACAGACTCACGTCACTATTGGATTATTTCTCCGCTCGTTTATGTGAGGGCTCAGTCAGTCCTTTCCTTTCTGTGTGTTCGTGTGTGTGTTTGTATGCGTCAGCTCTGTTGGACCGAGATACCAGAAACAGGACTCGTTTCATCGATGTTAATCCATCGTGAAAATAGCTGACGTATTCCCAGTCACGCTGTTTTCCACATGGACGAACCAAAGCATTTTAATCGTGTATCTAACTCATCTCTTCAAAGCACTGTGTGCGCGTGTGAGCATGTTTTTCTCTTCGGGCATGTGCGCACCTATGCACCATAGAGTAGATAGTCGATATGGTTATGAAACGCCTTGCGAGTAAAGAAAGGGAGAATTCCGCAACATCAACATGAAATTGGTCTCCGTCAATAGAAAGATATTGCATTGAGCTTGCAAATTAGGAACCGAAATAAATAAGTTTACGAGTGAGGAGATTCTCTGTTCATTCCACCATATATATGATATTGCCCCACAGCTGACGCAATATATATGATATACTACCCACTTATTTCTTTGCTTTTATTCACCACATGCCATTAAAATGTATGATTTCGCGATTTTGACGATGGTAGCTGGTGGCACATGAGTTGTAAAATAACGAAAAATGAAGAGCAACCCTAAGAATTTATTTGTGAAAATAACTAGTGTACATGATACATCTTTAGCAATTTCATTTTGTCCATAATCTGCGTACCCTCCTTTATTTTCGAGCTCTGGGGCGGGTCATTTTAACGTGAGGTCTATCTATTTGGTAGAGGAATCGCACGTGTCAGTTTCCTCTAATACATACAGCACCGTGACCTCTGATGACCACTGTCAAGGCGAGGTGATATGTCTCTGTCTCCAACATAGAGTCAGTTCACCTCGTACCAGTACAAATGAGAATAAAATATGTTGCAGGGGGAAATAAAGTTCTGAATGAATGCTCTTCATCTATGGTTACCCATTTAAAAAGATACTGGAAACTGAAATATATTTATCAATTGAAGTTCACGTGACACGAGTTCGACCACTGCCTGTAGACGCATACATAAATATATACATACAAGCATACATACATACACACATACATACATGCATACATACATACATACATACATACATACATACATACATACATACATACATACATACAAACACAAATACTTGCGTACATGCATGAATCTATGCATACATATGTAGATATAAATGCAGGTACACAGATGCACAAATCTATCTGTTTTCGACTCACTTGGCCAACATACGTTTCTGGCGGTTCATTCTCTTGCACAGTCAACGTGGTCGGATTGGAGACGAACTCCGGCCGCTCGTCGTTCACATCCGTAACAGTGAGTTCGAGCCGAGTGAGCGCGAAAAACTCACCATCGCTGGCGCGCACGGAGAATGCATATTTGGTGCGTTTCTCGTAGTCCAAACTGTTCAACAAGCGCACCTCACCGTCTGATTCCAGTTTGAATAGGGTTTGAATATCCGGATCTGAGATCTCTTCCATGGTGTAACGAATGGTTGAGTTCTCGTCCCCATCTGTGGCTTCGAACTGCGAGTGTCATTTAATGAAACAATACTGAGTTTTTCATGCATATGTATGTACTTGCATAAAACAGTAGAAACTGCACAGTTTCAAAATAATAATAAACCATATATGTTTCATACTAACTAAATTTTTCACTTGGTCAGTGATAGCTTGCTCATTGAAAAGTGAAACAATAAAAGCTTCAAGTACAAAAAGGTTCAAAGCTCTCCCCATGCTTTTCACGTCTACGATAAATTGTAGTATAGAAGGCTGGTCGGTAGAAAAACGTATATTGACCCAATTCGAACACAAGTCATACAAAATTTTGATTATATAGCGCTAATTCCAAACGACACAGCAAGACGAACAATCAAGGTTGTTTGAACCTGCATGGCGCTTCCAGCTGAATACCTGCATGTGTCATGTTACTTCCTTCCTTCCTTTGTCATTATTCGTGAGTGGGCTTGATTGTCGGGGACGATTTAACGGTCGATACCTCTGAGGTTCGGTCTAGCCAGAATTGTCTTTAAGGTCAGCTAAATATCTTACACCATGCCATAGATGTTGACTTGCTTGCATCGGGTTGTTCTAAACAACGTATGGACCAATATTGTAGCACTAAACTTGGTTACAGAGACTCCGTTTAAAACCCAATGTACTGCCTTTTCCTCCAGGAATAACTCATCACTAGTTGATGGGGAAACTGGTAAAGGCACATTCAAAGTTCATTCACTGCCGCTTTTTGTTTTCCTGGACTTACTATTATCCGGTCTGTTGTCTAAAGATTTCATTTCACTTAGGCACTGTTGAAAAGTGATTCGGGCTATGGAAGTCCTTTTCGATGCCACACTTGGCGAATTCATTGCGAATCATCACAATGCAGATTTGACCATCTGCACGACCGAATACCATCTTTCCTTCTTCTCGGTTTGCATTCATTCTTGTAATGCATAATCAAATTGAATCTTTAAGAACTCGTACCACCGCATCTACTCACAACGCCTCGTTAGTTACCTGTGCCACATTTTAACATAAATGAAAGGTCTATCAGATAAACGGAAACAACGCTTCACTCATTCATGCTTAGGAACTAACTTTGTCTAGTAGGAGTGTTCTCTTTATTCATTTTTTGTTCATTGCTGCATAAGTTAATGGGATAGCATTTTTCACCAAAAGACCACAGTAAATTCTTATCTGAACCGGACCTAGATGCAATTCTTTTCCTAAGAATTTGAACACAATAAACCGATGTTTTGTTTTGGAACTAGAAGATCACGGAATATCAATTGTTCTGCCTGATATAACATCCCTCCAGCATCTACATGACACTGAGTTGATTTGAGAAAATGTACCTTACATACTGCGTTAGTGGTGTAACCTTCGAGTGCATCAAATGTATTCGAAGGCCTCCGGCATAGTTTTGTTGTTTTTTTCTTGAAGAAGCCATGCTGTACTGCGTGCGCTTTCACCCTGGTTTGTCAGTTTACAGTGAGTTATTTCGTCAGAGATGGATCCACAATTTAACTCACATCTATCGATATTGAATTACCGTTTGAAAGGGAGCACAAACACTCCAGGAAATCGTTCAGCAAATTCCGTTATTGCATCTCTGTCGAGCAGAGCAAACGGTTGTATCGTTTTGTCGCAACTGACCCCATTTGTAAATTTTACTCACATTCCCTATGCCTGGAATATAGGAGTTTGTTTGTTTTCAACTGAGTGTCTAAAATCATCTGCTAAAGAAACGTAAACTTTGTGCTATTGAACTCGTCGGACAGAGAAGGAAATGACGCTTGAACTGAAAAGACAGAAAGCGCTGTACAGCTACGCATCTGTAGAAATTTACTCGCGGGGATATTTTCGCACAATTTGCCCAAGTATTGTAGAGGGCTGCAACCAGTCACTCTTCCCCTGTATTTCGCGAAACTCTCCCATATGACAAAGCTTCTCAAGTAGAGCCCCTCCCATTAGCTTCATCTGGCAGTGTTTCTCTTACCAAAGTGAGAGGAAGAAAAACCAACATTCGGAGCTTTAGGCAAGTCGGTTAGCCACCGATGTGTGAGTTATCAACTTGATTAGGCATCGAGGTGTGTAGTTGACCTTGGACTGGACGCCGGTCTGCATTAGATTACGGTTTCTACGTACCACACAGCTCCAGTTTTGAATACTCCAAGAAAATTCACTTGTTTTGAACGGATAAACTTCCGCCTATCAGCAATTCACGCACCGGGTTCTTTGCTGGACTTAGACACGTGTGAAATATGATGATATTAATAGTCAACACTATGTGTAAGGAGGTAGTCAAAGTAGTTTAACGTAAATCGGATCAAGGGGCGTAACCATTCAGTCCAAGTTTTTCCCCGAGAACTTATAAGTACAGTAGAGCGATTCAATCGAATCTAATAAATCACAGTCAGAATGCGGCAGCTGCATTGAACAATCGCTAAGTGATATCTAAATCAAATCTATTCGCATATGCCTGTGACTCGTGTAAATAACATTCTGAGCCCTTATTTTCGTCTGCCCACTGTTAACTTTCCTTCCGGATCACGGAGATATATGTAACGCGTAACGTTAGCACCGAATGAGTTTTTAGTAACTACGTGATTTATTACCCACCCAGCCCCACGTAATGACAGTGGTGTAAAACACGGCATTTTGTTGACACTATCGGTGGCCCATGGACCCATTGCTAGGTGCTCCATTTTCTCCACTATTCTAGATCCTTGATTGGTAATTTGTGTTTCCCCAACGACGGGCCATTGTAGCGATCGAGTTCTGCACGTGTCAGAGGCATTTTGTAAAACCAGATTCAGCTGAGACTCATTCCTCCAACCCGAATGCGAACTCGTACATTGGCTCAGTACAGACTGAACGCATTCTCACATTCGCGTACGTTCGAATACAAGCCCAGTAAGTTTGCTACCACACGGGAACAGTAGATAATTGCTCATTACTCAGTCAATGCGAATTGACCTTCATCAGCTGTACTAATTACACCTTTAGATCGTTCCCGCAGGTCAATCCGTAATCAGGCATGAGATTGTTTGTTGCACGAGACCACCTCGATGTATGCTCGTGTGTGCGTGCGTGCGTGTATGTTCGTCTGTATGTCAATGCGTCCAAAGACATTGATGTCTTGTTCTGTTCGTTCCCATCCGTATACCCATCAATCTTGTCCTAGGGTGTGCCTGTCTGTGTGTGCGTGTGTGTGCGATGAATATTGACCAAATTGTCGGAGTTTGATGTGACCGGTGGTGGTGGTGGGTGGTTTGAGTCGGGTTATTGTTGGCAGTTGCATGATTAATGAGGTACCGTGTGAACCGAACTTTCACAGAATAACTCGCTCTCTCTCTCTGTATCGTCCAACAGACTGATGCATTTTCACATCCGAACGCAAAAAGGCCTGAATATTTACACGCAAACACACAAAACCTGTTAGAGGCTAGTGGATGAATGGATGAATGAAGTGTTTGGCAAAAACTGAAAGGCTTCGCCAATCAAAACTGCTGATGATCAGAGCTGACCACAACTGACAAGTGAAAGTTGAAAGCCTGGCAAGAACTGTCTACATTGTGAAACGTTCTGTTGAGAAATTTCATTCGTGGGACAGAACTGACTCATTCACACGAAGATCATTCGAGTTTGTTCAGTGTCAGACAGAAGTGGAAAGTCAAACACCATTGATCATGTTTGTAGTTGGGGTCTATACACAATCAGTAGAAATAATGGAACTTGGTTTCGATTGTTCTGAGTCATTTTACCATGGTGGTATCTTAACTGTTGCGATGGAATATGTAGGTAGTATGGAACGCGTTGTATGAGCATGGTCTCCTGTTAATGGACATATTATTGAGAACTCCCCGGGAAAAAAACAGTTGCATGATTTACAACCTCAATGTTTTAGACTATCCACCCTATCTCACTCACTGTGACTCTCTGTGCTCTTGCCCGTGCTCCATCTTTCTACCTCATCGCACGCTACGCAACATACAAATAACTGCATACAATATCATACTCACACATAGTCAAATCATAAATAAGACCAAATGCACGTGTGTGTATGCTCAATCATATCCATCTCGCTAACTCAATACAAGGCCTCATTCGTTGTCATGGTAATATCCAGTCTTCCTGGCGTCACTATCTCAGTGTCTATCCACTGCAAGCCGCCTAGGCTCACGGATACGCAATAACCGGTAAGCATTACAGTAGACTTGTTTCTCAAGACAAAGAGTGAATGAAAGAAGCATGACTAGGTGTGTGTGTGTGCGCGCGCGCGGGCACAGGCTATTTTAAAGTAGTTTGTTCTCAAATGGTCACTCATTGAGTAGGCCCCGAAACACGTACCTAACAGGACTTTCTCCCCGTGTATATGCACCTACATATGCACTTGCACAAGTGCACATATATACGCATATATATGCGCAAACACACCCATGCAGACAAAACGCCCATACCGGAGGCAATGAGTGATTTATGGTAGGGCAAATGCCTATGCACCTATTCTCAAGGCATAGTAATCAATTTCAAAGTACAGACACGCACAGATAGTGAATACTACCAAGGTGGACAAACCGTGGTTGAAAGAAGCTGACTGACCCCGCAGCAACTGTCTTAACGGGCACCGTTTTTGCATACGCATGAAAGCGTTTGTGCACACACACACAAACCGTTCGAGGTGAAACAAACGTCCAGGCAACAGAAAGACAAGCGAATGAGTAGAAGAGGGACAAGACAAAAGAAGAGACCAGATAAAAAAACACGGACTAGAATTCTCTCTTCTTTGTTGGGGCGCAGTCTATGACAGTTGATTGCACTGGTCGTGTCTCGGCTGTGAAGCAGTTTGTGGATGAATATTTGCTCACCGTTTGTCCGCGTCGATTTGGAACGGCTAAGGAGGAGCCGAGAAGAGGAGCGCGCCGTTCACGTTGTCCCGATATGTGGTTGGACACCAACTACACTCTTTGGCTTTATGAGTTAAGATAAGAAGATAAATATTCCGATAAACATCTTGGTGCTAA